TGTGCACCTCTAAATTGTCACTAGCACAGCTTGCACACTCACATGATGCGAGTGATGATGCTGATGCACAAGGTCATCAACAACGATTTTTGTCTCCATAAGAAGAGATTTGTGGGTAGTTGTGACAATCTTTGCTCTCCATCTGATCAGCTCAGATTTGATGGTGTGTGTGTGTGGTGTGCGATGTGAGCAGGCAGACGAAGAAGCCTGACGCATGGCAGCAAATCAATGAAGCACGTTGTCGCTTCCTCCTCCCTCTCTCCCTCCCTCCGTCCCTTCACGACCTCTTCCCTCTCAAAGTTTACTTCCCCACCAGTCTTATCCCACTCACAGCAGCTGCATCTCCTCCCTTAAACTACAATGACGCACTGGCAGTCTCCCCTTGGTAAGGATGGTTTAAAAGGTGTGTAATTGTGTGTGTGTGTGTGCAGAATGTTGGTCCAGTCAAGTGGTTGAGGTGTTTTAGTTGGCACTGTTAAAAGTGACTTTGACGAATCAATTGCTCCTGTTTGCACACAATCGTCGCATTGTTAAATGACGGTGAATGGCGAATGCAATAACTGCAAATTTGAGTGACACTAATTCATCATCCTATCAGAGTGAGTGTGGATGTTGTGGCCCCCCCCACACAAAGGGTTCTACAAAATGGCACGTTTGGATATGAGGCACTCACGACAAAACAACGCAGCGATTTGAAACTCAGCCTTCCCTTCCGAAGCTGATTACTAAATGAGATTTATTCGCCTATTCTTCCTTTCCGGAAGATGGAAATTGGCACTACTCGTTGCTGTGGTGTACGTGTTGGCAATCGGCATAATCCACACCAGACGCAATGGCAAAAAGGTGGAGGTGAAGGGGCAGATTTACTACAGCAAGTACTGTGCATGGAACGACGGGATTGATGCCAGTGAAGTAGGGTGGTATGAGATGCGTCTGTGCTACAGAATCGCTTCAAACCCTCCCATTGCACCGACGTCAGCGCCCACAATTGAGGAGTGGAAAATCCGTATCAACGGGAGCAGGAAAGGCTTGAGATTCGAAGACTTGGCCACCATTCCAGATGCCGAGTGGTTGAATGATTTTGATCGCAGTGTCTACCAACTCTATCCTCAGGCAATTCCTATGCGAGCCACATTGCAAACTCTCGTTAATGACGAACCGATTTCGCAGGTGAGTGTGCATTTTACAGCAGGGATGTCGGCGAGGTTTTTCATGCAGTGTCACCCTTTCAACAGATTTGACCTCACACTTAACGTCACTTAACTCGTGCACTTTAATTTGGGTAAGTTTCCTTTTCAAGCCTCCCATCTTCAACCCACGCATTCGCTTCCTCAAAGTGCCCGCCAACGCCTGCTCCCCGTTTGAACCTACACAAGTCCTTTTCCGTGTCCCACGTCCACGATCGCATCCATATGTGGTAATTGTCTACAAGTCAGGTGTGTACGATTTCGAGGAGAGGAGGCATCTGCGCCAACTCTACCATTTCTCTCACACAAACATCCCCATCCACCTCGTCTTCTCTGTCGGCTTGCCACGAACCTCGCTAAGCAACGTGTTTCAACGCGACGGTTTCAACGTCACGCTTCGTAACAGGGCAGGACAGAAGCTGCTGCAGCACTCGAAGCACCCATCCACCACAAGGCAAATGCTCAGTGAGGAAATGCGCGACCATGAGGACCTTCTGGTTGGCGACTACGAGGACTCCTACTACAACCTGTCGCTGAAGCTGTTCCACACCTTCCAATGGGCTGCCCGATTTTGTCGTCCCTACAACCCCACCTTCGTCTTCCTCGACGACGACTACGCTGTGAACTTGAACAAGTTAATCCACTTCCTTCTTGGCCTGACGCCGCAATTGAGGGAGAACTTGAGCCATGGCTATGACGTGAGGGTGAACCCCGTCTTCCGAATAGGCAGCAGCATTTACCCACAGTGGTCCTTCTCGAAGGGTGAAATTCCATGGCCAATGCACACACCAGAGCACTTGGGCATCTACAGTCTGTGGAGCTACCGCCATGTGCACGACATGGCTCTGGCCATGCACTTCACCAAACCCATGGTCATCGACGACACGTGGTTGGCCATGGTGCAGTACAAGTTGAACCTCACATTCACCCGATTGCACGGTATGTTCTTCCATCCTTCACAATCGTTTGCGCAAATTCAATGCTCCGATCTCTTCTTCGCGCCTATTAGCGTATTCCATCAACTCAATTGTACATTGTAATATACCCCCATAACCCTGTAACACGTGCCACCTTATTATTATTGTTTTGACCATCGGACAATTACACCGTCCAAGTAGTACTGCGACAGACTCAACATTGGCAAGCTAACAAGAAGAAAAGGGCAAGTAATCGACTCCTCAAGCTTGCCTTGACGATTCGATAGTCCTCAGCACGTTACATTTTTTGCATTCACTTCAGAAATATGAGCTTTACTTTAGCTGTCGTGGCCGTCTGACTTTCATGTGGTAACTTCGTCAGCCCAAATGAGAATTTCACTCTGAGCTCAAAGCACCAAAACTTCTTTCGCTTCCTCACACTTTGGCTCACTTCCTCCGCGTAGGTGTCATGAAGGAGGCTGGAGCTTCCAATGTCACACGGGGGAGAGCGAAATGAACTATAATTTCGTTAAATTTCTGAGTCCTTGGTCATGTTAAGTTGCATGACAAATTTCTCCGCCTTAATTGCCTGACAGTATGCAGACTTGTAGGTCGCCTCCACTGCGCCCACTCTGCCCAACCGATGGGTGTCCTGA